TCGGGTCGTTGTCGGATTTAGTAAGCTGGCAGTACGGCGCAAAAATACGCGAGTTTCGCAAGCAACGAAAGAAAGAAAAAAAAAACAAAAGCAACGAAAGGCATTTCGAATGCGCGAAGCGCAAGGTAACGTTACCGTTCCGGAGTTAATACTGCTGCTAGTCGCGGCACGGGAATGCTTTATTCCTCGACAAATCCCCGCGCGCGCTCGAGAACGCGTCTCGTCGGCTTCGCGTTTATAACCCGGCCGGCAGGTCGGGCCGGCTCGTAAAGAGAAGCCGAGGCGGAACATTACGCGCCGCGCACAATATCCCCGGCGCGTATCTCGTTGCACGCGTATCAGATTGGCGCGGATGGCCGCCGCGCCGCGCCGCGGCGCATCGTATCGCGGCGCGCGAGTGAATGCCGTTTCTGTATGTTAAAAGGAAAGGAATAAGGGCTCCGTGCCGATATATCCGACGGCATTACTCCGACAAAACGGGTATATGCACGGGAGACCTCGATATCTGCTTTGCGTATCGCACGTATACGATACACTTAAAAAACGATAAAGCACGAATGTAGCGATGATCAATCATATATTCGATGATATCGCACAAACTAATAAAAGGCACAATCTGTTGTTTCGTATTTTGATTAATTAATTTAATACCTGATTCGTTCAATTCGAAAATATTTTTGGGAAATACTCGAGTAATGTAATTGTTACTCGAAGAAATATTTATTTTCTCTCGCGGTACTTTATACATAAATCAAAATCAACGGGAAATATTTTAGTGAATGTAGTGATATTACACAGTAAAAAATGTTTCGTATTTGTGTTAAAAATGATCTTCAAATCCTTTGCAAAATTTGTGTTGAATTTTTAATATATTCGTTATTTTATAGTAACATAAAGTGATTGTTATTTAAATAATTTATGTTCACATATTTATTTCTTAGTACCAAAATAACACAATTTATGAGTAAGTCAACAAATAATATAAAAATAAGGTGTTTTAAAATGTAAATTCTAAAATGAATGAATAAAATACCTACGTATTAATTTAACATATCATAAATATTAATTTTGTTGACAAAATATATACGTTTCCACAGGTTGCTTATAAATTGTATCAGTGTTACATTTTTTGTATTAATTTTTTAATATAATATTTGTGTTACTTTCTAACATATTCATTTTGTGTTAAATTAACATAAAAATTTGAGTGGACGTTCGAGACACACGTGTGAAATTTAATACAAATTTTCTAACTGTATGATAAACATTTAGATTAAAATAGATTGATATTTTAATAGATTAAAACATTAGTTTAAATAATTAATATTTTAATATTATAAATATTTGAATAATAATAATTTTATTTACTCAAGTAAGGTGATTATAATATCAAAATATTAATTATCCAGAGCAATATTTTATCTATTAATTTAAATATTTATTACTTAATACCCATTAAAACAATATTTCTCATTGATCTTTATTCATAAATTATCGCGAAAGAAAGTAAATAATATTTCTTGTTCTTCTAATTATACGCGAACTTTGCTACACAAAATTAGAATGCAGAATTATTATAGACAAACGTGCCAATTATGAGCTACAAAATAATATATGTTTAATCTGTGAAAACTTTTTTAACCAATAAAAGTTGCTTGAATCTTCTAAACTCAAAACTATGAATCGCCAAGAGAATTTAGCAATGTAAATTGCCAAGTTTGCTATACACTTTTATCTCTCGTGTACGATAATACACGCGCGATAAAAGAGATCGTATTTTTCAATATACGAAAGAACGGCGAACGCGAGTTTCGTATCTCTTTCAAGTATAAACTTTACACGCTGCATAAGTTTATTCAAAAAGATACCTCCCTTATTCTCAATGTAGAATTCCCGAGTCTCGGAGCGTGCGCGTGCACGCGTGAAGTGCCGCTCCCACGCAGCCGGACGGCGACACGCGTGAGTAACATACCTACGCAGCGTATTTCGCTCGCGATGCGAGTGCGAGCGCGTGCGAGCGAAGCGAGCACAAGCTCCGCCTTGAATGAATCCTCGTCGTCGCCTCGAGCGAGACTCGTGCGTCGTCTACGTACATGCAACGTGCACGCGTGTCTGTGCGTGCGTGCATGCGTGCGTGCGTGCGTCGCTGCATGCTCGAACGCAGACGCGCGTCGCGCGAACCAACGTATCCGCTGATGGAGGACTGTTAACGCCGAACGGCGATTATTTCGCCGTTATTTCGTTATTGCGCGAATCACGTTTTATTGAAGGGATCTCCACTCTATTATTCCGACGAGTATTTTCCATTCGACATTTCCGCCCGAGTTATCGTCGGCATCGATATCAAAGGTGAAATGCCGGCGCCAAGAATATACCACGAGTCTTACAACAGAAAATCAAACGACACGCGGAAAGTATGCCGGAAATTTATTCGCGCGTCTCGGATAGATATCGCGAATAACTACATGTATATATATATATATATATATTTCCCAGGCTAGATGCAAGCGAGGCGTATCGATACCTCTCTCGTTGGTATCGATCACCGTATTCCCACGTTTATTCTCTCCGTTCCTTATCTCCGTTCCTTATATCGTGTTTTACACCTCTACAATTCGAATACGCGAAAGCAGAAATTCTCTCTGTTACGATGTCTCGGGGTCTCTACATTTTGAATGCGAATCAAGTATGTGTGCGTACGTGCGTGCATTGATGCGTGTGCGTGCCTGTGGCAGGCGTGACTATCGTGTTCGCGTTTGCCCGCGAGAGACACATGCGGCCAGTGGTCGTCCGCACGCACGCACATACACACCTACGTACAGACACATGCGTGGTCACGGTAGACCAGCACTCTCACGCGATATCAGGGACTTCGCAGAGAATTGAGTTTGTTGAAATAACCTTTTCGCGAGAGCCGCATTCGCGCAATGCAAACTGTTATCCGACAGGAATCCGAAAGCCCGCAATGGTTAACAGTAGTTTTTTAAGTAATACACGCAAACGTATTCTCATTTATCACGGACGCTCGCTCACTTTCTATCCGATTTATCAACAAATCGATGAGATTTAATCGCACTTCAGATAACCACGTCTTTGTCCTTATACCTGATTCACAGTTGGAATTATTCATGAGAAACTGAGTATAAATATAATATAATAAACATATTCCTCTTTTACTTCATTTTTTACTAAAAAAAATTATTTCTTAGCATGCATGATGATTTTATGGTCCTTAATATGTATATTACTGTACACGATGAGTTTTTATGAACACAATCTAATTATTAATTTAAAAGGAAAGAAAGAATAAGCAGACTATCAAATTTAATCTAGAAATAATATAGATATAGAATATATATTTATATTCTCTTCTCATAACATTTGAATAAAATATATAATAATATAAAATTGCTTAAAAATTAAAATCACTTATCATGTTATCTGTTATAACTTACAACATTTACCACCCAGAAGTCCAAACTGATGTATAATGAACTGAGTTTTTCAAAGCATGTCTACGTTTGTTTTAGCTTTTAGCATAGCAAATTGGACCATCTCAAGACCACTGAAAGCATAACTTAACGATCAATGACCTCGCTCACTTACATGTGAAATTGACATGCGATAGGCGTTCTATGTAAAGGCCCGTCTAAAATACAGTAGTAAACTTGGTTTTAGAAGTAAGAGTAAGAAATAAAATTAATTTATTTCGCTTATGCCTATATCTACACCTACTCTAAACTCTTACATCTACCCTTACTTCTTAAACCAAGCTTACTACGTATATTGTAGACGGGCCTTAAGGTTGAATCACACTTTTTGAGTTGCAACAATTTTTTAATAAAATTAAGTTGAGTTCTCTTTCAATGATTAATAGAATAACATTTACTTAACTCATGGTAAAAACTCGAAAATCATATTCAAAGCTAAATCAATCATTGATGTCATCATACACGATTTAACAAATGAGGAAAAAAAGTTGTTTACTACTATATTTGCGTTTTGTTAATCTTGCTATTTTTTTGCCTTGTTTGATTAAATTTTTTTCCCCATTTTTTATGCTGTGGTTGAAATAAGAAAGCAATATATTAACATATATAAATATATATCTGCCAAGATAATAAATTGATAATACATAATAATCCTATAACCAAAAAATTCAAATTCTGAAAGACTACGTCTTCATGCACTCGTATTCAAATTCGCAAAATCGAGGAAGTTTGTTCATTAGATAATCTCTACAAATTTATTCGTGTGTATATGTTGAATGAGTGATAACGATAGTTAATCAACCGTTAAATACGCTAACTATACTAACGCATTCTCGAGAGCAAGATTATTGCATTAACGCTTTAATAAATACCATTATCGCCTTCAGTTTAGGCAGATAAATTTCGGATAAATCCGAAATACCTGCAAAGCAAAAAAAATGCCTTCCAGCTAGCTCTTTTTAGGTTTATTGTTAGTTAATAATCGATATATCAATGCCGAGGCTATTCGAGAGCGACCAGAGTAACGTATTGCTACACAGAGAACCGGAACACCAGAAGTCACTCACATACATAGGCATATTGTAAAGCAGGAGCCGCCTGTTCCCACATGAATACACACACACACACACAGACACACAGTTACATGTATAGCCTGCTGAGAAGCTACGTGTGTGAACGTCACGTCAAGTATTCAAAGATGAGAAAGATCGAAAACGAGAGAGAACAGCGTCCCAATTAATCTTCATCCTGACGAAAAGAAAAAAAAACGGAGTACCTGCACCTCGATTAATTCCAAGCGGTCTTACGTACAAATTTTAATACATAATCACGGTATTTACAATTCAAAATTAAGATGGCGTAAACAAAGATGGCGCGCGCAATCAAACAATCACCGAGGGGAGGAAGGGAGGAAGAAAAAATCGACTTCGGAGGAGGGAAGGGTTGAGTTCACGTAGCTTCTCAGCTGCCTGAAAGATATCAAAGAGAAAGAGAAGGAGAATCACTCACCGTTGCCGCGTGTCGGCGAAGGCAGGCGTGCACGCATACACCCGAACGATGACCGGCGGGGCGCACCTCGCTCACTCTCTCTCTCTCTCTCTCTCTCTCTCTCTCTCTCTCTCTCTCTCTCCCCCGCGGGGTCTACGTCCCCGTGGCTGTTCCTCCCGTGTATCCTCTCACTCCCGTGTTAAGCGTATTAGATCCTCGGGATATATCTCCTCTCTCGTTGCGTATAATCCAACCGTTCGTCGCCGCCGGCTGCGGCTCGTCGCTGCTCGCCGCGAGCTTCACCTCGCGACCCTGTTCTCACGCACGTTCTACACACAAATACACAGACAGAGGCACTGCCGTCACTACCGCCGCCGCCACCGTCGCCGCCAAGGAACTCGTCCCGGACTCTCGTTGTTCTCGCACCGCGAGACGGATACACACCCCGATCGAACGCGACCGGCCGAGTCGCGAAGCGCAACCCACTGATTACACCATTACTCCGATATTTTTTTTTCGGCCGTTTTTCCTCGCCCGTCGCTATCTCGCTCCTCCTCGCTCCGACTGCTCCCGTCGGCGCCTCTCCTCCCCCTAACCGCCGCGCTCTCCTTCTCTCGCACGCGCCCTTCGCTCGGTCCCACTCCTTCCGCTCTCGCCCGCGTGTGTGTGTATATGTCGCGCACCGCTCCTCCGTTACGCCCGGTAAACACCGAAACACGCAGGGCACACAAGCACTCCGACGGCCGGCGCGACGAGGACGCGACGGTTTCGAAAACTGGGAAACGCCGAGGAAACGCGCGGTATTTTCCCCGCGGCTCTTCCGCGAACGACCTGAAGTTCGTCCGTCTCGGCCGACCGTTACGAATGTCGCGGCGCACACGCACAGACGTATACAAACAAACAACGCCCGCGTCTCCTATAAACCCCGGCGGAGCACACACCTACGCCGCGCGGTGTATCATACTTTTTTTTATCTCTCTCGCTCACTTTCTATCTCTGTCTGCACCGCACTTTCTACGTGTTGCGTTCGCTCTCTCGATCTCACGCTCGAGTCGCCCGGGCCACGCTATCTTTCTCTCTCTCTCGCTCTCTCTCTCTCTCTCTCTTTCGCTCTATTCCCCCTGCTCCCTTCCCCTCTATATCCTTCTCGCTCAGTTGCTCTTCGTAGAACCGACACTGCTACCAACCCGTCTCCTCCTCCACTAACATCGTTCCCTCCGTCGACTCGCACTCACACGCGAAAAACGATGTGCCGAAGTGTATACACGGGCAAACAGTCGCGCGAACGCAACGGGCTGCTCCTTCTTGCCCGCCGTCGGCGACGCCGTAGAGAGAAGCACGCACACGCACACTCTCACACACGTACACGCGCGAACGCACTTTTCTCCGTTTCGTCGAATCGTTCGTTCGTTCGGTCGTTCTCCTCTCGCGCGAGATTGGGACACACCCGGGTGGTTTTCGTCTCGGTGTCGTCCGCGCAACGTTGGAGCGGACGTCCGCGATTGAGGCCGCCCCGGTGACACTGTTAGTTTTGCACCGCGACGCCTCGGCACAGTGTAGACACGCGCGCCGAAAGGCCGCGGATTTCGCGAGGACGAGACACCGCGAGACAAGACACGAAAAAAAGACGCACAGAGGAGACACCGCGCGTCTCCCTTCTTGTCGCAAAGCACTCACGGCGGACCGCAACACATGGCTACGACGGGGCCACCGCCGAGATCGGGACTGCTCGGTGGCGCTCGGTCGCGCCCGCCGCGTCGATCCAGGACCGTCGCGGCGGCGCCAGATCCCTGGCGCCTGGCACGGTCGCCCCGCGAAAAGTACGTTCTCGCAGTCGAATCAATCTCCATCTCGATCCTTCCCGAGTCGAAATTTCAGTCCTACTTTGAATCTCTTTCGACCTCGATTAAACCTTATAAACCTGTTTTGATACTTGAACAATCAAATAGGACCTTTTTAATATTACTTAATCTACACTGAAAAAAAAGATTGGCTGCTGCAACAAATTAGATGGCAAAATATGGCATAGTATTTTTAATTGGCTGCTGCAGCAATCTTTTTTTTTAGCGTACATCTTCTATTTAGAAAACTTCTTTTGAACCTAAAAATAGGAAATTTTAGGGTAACTGCCATTTACAGGCTCAGCGTAGAAACTCAATTCATTAGATTAGAATCTATTATAAAAATCTTTAAAATCTATGTCTTAATTATAAATCTTTAGAGTCTACATACGTCCTAAAATGTTCAAAGTAGAAGCAAAATTTCGAGTTCGCATCTTGTTCATGATAATAGCTTTTGACAATTCCTGATTATCTAGGGGAATAACAAATTAATAAATTCAAAAGAGCATATAAGATTCAACGCGGTTTTACGTGTTGCGAAAAAAGAATAAAGAATTTAATCTAAAATAAATGTTTAAAATAAATGTTATATTGCATACTTAGAGATTTCAAATAATTGCAACATAGATTTCTAAATTAAAATTCATATTACATTATATGTTTTGACTTTCTTATCAAGCCCTCTTTGGATTCCAGAAATGTTAATATAATTAGAGATAATACAAAAATATCTTAGCAATCTTTATGCTGAGTCACTTTCAGAGCAAAATAAAAATTACTCACGAGACGGTTGAATGAATCATGTGGAGAGAATTTCTAGAATTTGTTAAAATTTCTCCATAAGGATTATATAAACAAAGTTATTATAAGCTTACAGAAAATATGAGCAATCTTCGTAAACTCAAAATGACAAATTTATCTAGGGAAACACAGGTAACTTCCAGTTTACGAAGATTAGACTGATTGTATCTCGAGTTGAATTATCTCATAGAGTACACTGATAGGACCAGAAGTAGAAACACGATTTTGAAATGTAAAACGACCATTTTTTGTTTACATAAAAAATTCCAAACCCTGGCTTCAGAGTTTCTTAGTTTTTATAAAATTAACAACACTGAGAAAAAATATCTTAACTTCAAAGAAATATTTCTTTACTCCTATTCAAACAAATTATTACTTTAGATCAATAAAAATTTCTTTGATATATTTTTTACTTTAAAAAACATATTTTAATTTCAAAAAAATTTTCATTGTTCCAAAGTAATAATTTGTTTGAATACGAGCAAAGAAATGTTTCTTTGAAATTAAGATATTTTTTTCTCAGTGAATAAATATAAAAATTTTTCTCATCGTATAGATTAATCACTTAGAAAGGCGATATAGGAATAGATATATTATCTCAGAGGAAAAAAAAGTCGAGTATTATAATGTTCTAGGATCAATTGACTTTTTTCCGATACATTAATGATATAAAAACAATTCTCGGATAAATGCATTATCATTGCCTTAACAATTTGGATAGCAACATTGTACTTGGGTTCGCATTAATCCGAACAGTATTAATACCGTCTATGCATCGAATTAAAAAAAAGGTAATTAATCTTGAAATATTATAATACATAACGTTTTTCCTCTCTTTTTCTGAAATCTATTATTCTCTGCCAAGTAATTATTCTTTGATGACATTAAAATTTTTATATTTATTTATATGTTCATTTTTTAACAAACTAAGGAATGCCTAAAGCCTGCAGCACTCGATGTATGTTTTTCTGCTGGTTGCTTGCGTTTTAGCAAATTATCAGTTATATTACATTCTGTGTAATGCAATTGTAGGTACTAATTTACTAAAACGCAAGTAATTCAACAGGGAAAAAAGTATCATGTGCCGCAGGCTTTAGGCATTCCTTAGTTTAGTTATATAGAGTTTGAGATTCTTAACATGAGCTTAAACAATTATCTTTTACAACAAATCGCATTTAAAAAACGCGTTTTCACTTCTGGTGAAAAGGTTTTCACCTCTCCTTGTGAGGGAAAAATGTTTGATATTTGTGATACTATAATTTGTGATATTATAATCGCATAGTAAAATAATTATGATTAGGAGCTTCATCTTTATAATTATTATTACTATAATATTAATTATATTTGTAATCTTATATACCAAAAAATATATTATTGGCACTAAAAATAAGTATTTACATTCGTTTTCAACGCCAACTTATCTACTATTATTTAGAATTGTAATTGTTTTTTAATTAAATGCAATTTAGGTACCATTTATTTATCTGAATATATTAATTGGATAATTGATGGTTCATCAAAAGTTGTTTACTTAAATGTATGTATTAGATATGTATTATCTGATTAAGTCAATGCTGATGAAACATAAATTTCTTTTATGACACTGGTGATTAAACCCGTTGCTATTTGCTTACGATGATAATCTGTTTTAAAGAATTATTGAGTCTTAAAGTAAGAACTCTGCGTAGTTCCCAATCGTTAACGTCATCGATAGATATAAGCGACTTATTGCGTTGAAAGAAACAGACGTCGATAATGAACAACATATTTCTTAACGTATAAGCCGATGAATATACATTAGCGATAATATATGTATATAGAAGCGAATTAATTAAGATATTAATCAATTATACTGAAAGCCCTATTTTATTATTAAATAATAATTACTTTTTATTGTAGTATTTTTCATTTAATAACACAAACAGATATATTTTACTATTCGAAATAATTTTAGTGTATATAATTTAATAATAATTCTCATCTTTTTTAACTAAACAAAAGTACAAAGGCATATTAATTTTTACTTTTACTTTATATTTTATATTCTTTTAACAAGCTAAGAGATATCTAAGTTAGATCTTGATACAAACTTAATCTTAAAACTGAGAAAAAAAATTTGTTCAACTAACTGAACACATTTAGTTGTTTGTAGATTTGGTTAATTCAACAAATTTTATTTAATTGAATTTAACCTTAGTTTACTTAACAAGCTGTTCAATGTTAAACAGACTACGGTTAAATGCGATTAAATAAAATTTGTTGAATTAACCAAATCTGCAAACAACTAAATGTGTTTAGTTAGTTGAACAAATTTTTTTTCTCAGTGTACGAACGGTTATCTTTTACAACAAATCAAATTTCAAAAACACGTTTCCACTTCTGGTCCTCCCCTTGTGAGAGAAAAATGTTTTGGTATTTAAAACCAAAAATAGTAGAAACCAAACAAGGCGAATGAGAGTATAGCGCAGTTATCAATACGCAAAGTAATAACGTAAAAAAATTTTACTCCTCTATTCTACAGTTTACAAAATTTACGTTCGTAAACTGTGGAATAAAGGAGTAAAATTTTTTTACTTTATTACTTTGCGTATTGATAACTGCGCTATACTCTCATTCGCCTTGTTTGGTTTCTACTTTTGGTTGTAATATCGAGAGTTCGTAAACGAGATTATTTTTGGAGTGGTTTGTTTGGTAGTTGTGATACTATAATTGCATAGTAAGATAATTATGATTAGAAGTGATTTAACCATTAGATAAGGCAAAGTTTAATGTGATCTAGAGTGCAAATACTTGGCGCGAAAAAGCCTTATTTGCTAATTAAGAAACAGAAAAGGTGGCAGATGCGCAAACGAGGAGGAATTCGGTCGGATTGAAAACCGGGGGAGCTCGGGTGTCAATTTCCGGCATTGGCCTGCTAAGGGGAAGACTGGCGTTTCATACAGGCCGACCTCTCCGTCATCTTCTCTTCGAAGGCCGTATATTCGCAAAGATCTAGCCTGGAGGAGAAAAGAAATCGAGGGAGCTTGAAAGAGCACGACGATGCACGAAAAGAAGCTGAGGAGCACGAAGAAGCACTCCTTCACCACGAAGCGAACTCTCTTCACTCACGACAAGACAAAGGCGAAATTCTCTCGCTTGCTCTCTCTCTTTCGGTATCTCGCCCTATCCCTCTTTCCAAAAAATCTTTCCCTCTTTAATTCAGTCTATCTCACTCTTTACTCTTCGACTCGGAATATCTCTCTTCTCTCATCCCTTTTTTTCTCTCTCTTTCTCTCTCTCCTCTCTCCTTCTCTTTTTTCTTCATCTTCCTCTCTCGCTCATTCTCTTTAATTCTCTTTTTCTCTCAGCCTTTCCGTCCTTCACTCCTTCCCTTCTGATCCCACAACTTCCCGCGATCTCGCTTTTTCTTTTTATAGAAATCTATTGGCGTCCTTATCGTTTCGGCGCTCGGACCCGTTTGGTCGATCTTTCATTTTCGACATCGATATCGGCGAAAGAGGAAGGGTGAGAGAGAAAGAGAAAGAGTTGAGAGAGGATCATCGGTGACAAACAACGCAGGACCTGAGAGAAAGTGAACAAGGGGACGGCAATTAGGAGAGATTCGTTTTAACTTTTCCCTCTCGTCCTCATCGTCGTTGTCGGCGACGGACACCAAGCGTGCGATGATCACCATGTAACCGGAAGCGGCGATCGAAGGCTCGTTAAACCCTCTCTCTCTCTCTCTCTCTCTTTCTCTCTCTTCCCCTTTCTCCTTTATCCTCACTTCTCTGCCTCACAGAGAGGACGATTTTGTCACCGGTGACATCAGTTCCCGAGATTATCTATGACAAGAGTATCGCAATATATCTCGATAAATCTTTCGATCGATTAGTTCTAAGAATTCGGATAAACTATTAATTTTACGTAAATATCTCGAACAATTAAATTATCTATTCTTTTAAGTTTATTTTAATTTCACACTACTTAGCTATAAGATTATTTAAGAAATTAAAATAATAAATTGGGAAA